CCTAGCCGGGTAACAAAACATTTGCAAGAAAACAACCAAGCTCAGAGAACCCCAAGGACTCAACAGTTCAACCCTGAGCTACACATATTCTCTTCTATTGGTATCTGTCATCTGTTAAAATAACTCCTATCTTATTTCTTCTCTATTACAGTTATAACGTATTCACAATTCTGTTCATATTATTCTTTAACATTAGCTCAGTATTGCAGGAAATGTGTTCCACAGAATTGAATCCTTGTTTATTCTGACATTTATAGCTCTTCCTCCATATGTCAGAAAACTTTCTTACACCACAATTACCTTGATCAAGCTGAGCATGCATGCAGCCTTTCAAAGAAACTACAGCCCTGCTGATCAGCTGGTTGGTGAAGAAATGGGACTGGGGATGGGGAAGGGCTGAATTTAATCCTTTTCTAATTTTTCAAAGTAGCTAAAAGGCAGCAATTTATTGGGCTCCACAAGTGCCTATTATACTGTATAGCAAAGAAACACTTGCTGGCTGGGGAATTCTGGGAGTTGGAGTCCACACAGCTGAAAGCTGCCAAGGTTGAGAAACACAGCTGTATAGCAACCACTTGCATTAGAGTCTCAATTCAGAGAGCCTATTTTCCGAAAAGCTGTTTTTGCATTCTCAATCAAGGCAGTAATAGTTGTACTTTTGGGGGGATTACTGATAGATACATATAGTGTTTTGAAAAGGATGGTTGCTTTCTAATCCAAAAACAAGCTGGTTAACAATATTCCCAATCTGTTATCTTCCACCTGCACTGCTTGGGGACTGAGGGAGTTATAGTCCAGTTAACATATCAACCTTGGAAGCCTATTTTACAATGTAGAATTGAATCTTCTTGGCATAAGACACTATTATTTATTATAAGGCACACATTTTACATGCAGTTTATTATATTGTATTTTGTTAATATTTAGTTCTGTGCTTCAGATTCCTTTCATAATATTTATGAGGCAATAGATGTTAAAATTGAATAGAATATTGACTTCTATATATCATACAATGAAACGTCAACTTGACAGACTTCAGCACAGAGGACATCAGAGGAAACTGATTCCCATTGTATTTAGGTTATTTAACATTAATGTAAATACAGTAATATTACAGTATTTATAATGATGGCATTATTATGCAATGATGTAATTGTTTCCATTTTGTAATGACATTGTGATGGACAATTGGGAATTATTGATACCTAATCACCTCCAGTTAGTCTGTTAAATCAAGACTTTGCTATGAATTTATTTCTGTTATCTCTTTCTGTACAGGGAATTTTAGATATTCTGGTAATCCATCCCGCCCACCAAGCAATTACAATATGTATACTGGTGGACTTACTGAGGAAGAACAGTTTGAAAGGGCAGTAAGGAACAGCTTGAGTGAAAGAGGTAAGGCAAAATAGCTGCAAAGTGAATGGCATGTCACAGAATGCCTCTTTTTAGGGTGAGAAGCAGTCTTAAAACTAACATGAATGGAGCCTCATGCAATTATGTACTCCTTCTTTCCAATTTCCAGCTTACATTCCCTCAAAACTCAGACTATGTCAATTTCCTTCCACTGATGCAGGTTCCTATTGCTCCTTGTTCAAAGAAAATAATACGACAATACCCCTGAAATCTTCATCCAAAGGAACACACAGTTGTATACCTATATGTTAAGTAAATTCTAACCTAGGTTGAACTACTTCTGTGATGTATTTCTTCTACCCAGTGGGCAGCCGGAGAGGTATCTTTACCAAGAGCTTTGGACTGCAAGAAATGATGTCATCTGCACAGGGTTTGGAATCTGTGCATACTGTAAATACACAATCTCTCCCTCAGTGGCATATGGATCATCAAGGCAGGGCGGTAGCTGCCTTACGACTTGCAGGTTGAGGGTGCCCTACCAGATCTTCAGTATTTAAACAGCAAACAAACCTAGTTGTGCCCTGCTACCTTGGTGGTGCACACTCATGGAGGAATCTAGGTATTTGCTCAGAATGGCACAGTGGGTGGGCATGGCGGTCTCGGTGCCTGCTGGAAAGGACAATTGCTAGATGGTGGCAAAGAGACACAGAGAACCCAGATCTGGTAGTCCTAATCTAAACAATCTGCCAACACTGCTTCACCCAAAAGAGAGCTGCAAGTTCTTTCCTGAGAGCAATTTTTGTGTGCAAGCCTGAACTTCAGTTACTAGTTCTTTAACTGATTACTGATTACTTATGTTGGGATAGGATATAAATACACATTTGTTTTAGGGTTAGGGTTTTGGTTAAAAGGAGTTTTGGTTAATATCTTTGCCTCCTGCTTAATTAAGAACAATTTACGATACAGCATAGTTAGTCCCAGCAGATGGATAAATGAGCACCACAGGCAAGACTGTGGTTAAAGCTCTTTGCCTTCCTTATGAGCAGTGAGGAGAAGGAGGAATCTGTGCTTGAGATGGGGACCTGGAAAAGATAACTCAGAAATCACTTTCCAGTAGTGGTTTGCCTGATGTCTGGGCCAGAAACTGCTGCTATTGTGCTGCCCATCTTTTTCAGACCTAACAGTTGATGTGTTTTGCAGATGTCTACACAGAGCTGTTGTTGTTACTCATATTGACCACGTAGGCTTGACAGCAATGGCAAAACTCTTTATACCTCTGTAGATGAGTTCTTCTATCCAGAAGGGAAAGTGGAATCTTGTTTTTTTCCCTGTCCTGCTGTTTGTATAATATTTGACTATAACTGCTGTTGTGTAATGTGGCTAATCTCAGACTGTCTGAAATAACACATCACTTTTAAGTATCTGTCTGGAATTTTTAATATGCATAGTAAAGGCAAGAGGTTATGTGGACTGCATTTGTGGCTGGTTGAATCAATTCAAGGGTCAGCTGTCCCACTTTTTTTATATCCCACTGAACACTTTCCTGCATATAATGCAGGACATTCCCATTTCAATAGCTGATTGTACTCTCCCAGTTTTTCCCCTAATAGAATGCAAGTATTTAAAACTTGTGCATATCCTCCAGTCCTTCGCCAGGATGCAGGAAGTGCCAAGTGCTGCCTCTTATATTGTGTTCAGTGAAGGTTTTAAATAGCCCTGGATGCTCATTAGTTTGTGTTCCCAGGAAATACAGTGACTTATGATTGGCTTCTGTTTACAAAGCCACAGCTGGGTTAGTTTATTTCCCACATGAAAATAACCATAGAAAGTCAGAGATACTAATTGAGATACTAATAATATGTTTTGAAATCACTAAGAAAAAAGATGTCATAGTTATGGTATCTCTAGTCAGTACAAACAAATAACTAGAAACAACTGAATGCTGAACATCCTAGGGGTGTGGAGACACAAGCCTAAGAGATGTGTGTGTATGTGTAAATAAACAAGGATGCACACACATACATTCTAGAAGTTTGTACCAGATAAGAATGAAACTCTGTACCTCATTCTTGACCTTGCCAAACTTTGTTTTGGTAAAGATGCCCAGAGTCATAATTAGCTGATAGACACACTATTATTAAAATAGGTTTAAAAACAAAAATACATTCACCCCTTTATCATGATGCATCTTGCAAAATCAATTAAGCAGAGCAAAACACTATGTAATCATTTTGACCACATAATATAAAATGTCTAAGGTAGCAGAAAGGTGTCCATCTGAGTTGTTTCTTACCCAGTGCAGGAACTCCAGTGAGAAAGACTTATTGCCAACAGGATAAAGTTGGAAAATATAATGTGAGAAAGCATATAACAACATCTGATATTGTCCCACTTAATAATTGTGAATATTACTGGACCTGGAATAAAAAGCATAAAAATTACAATTTTTTAAATTGTGTTTAATTTAATTTTTCAATTACATGTGTAAATCTTAGGTTCCTATGCATTTGATTCCTTCCCAAATGTTTGGCAAACCCAACTTCTAACACCAAGTTGTCATACTTCCTTTTATATACTGTGATTGTGTGCAGATAATACTTTTTTGGAAGTTTGCTTTATAGAATAGATATTATCCACAGCACACTCTTTTGGGCCACTATAACTTGACAACAAACTAGTTTGGCAGGTTTTCTTACTGTGTTGAGCTGTAAAATCTTTAATTAACCCCTAGAAATATGAACTTTACCTTGAAAGTTGCACTGAATATATTTTATTATGGTTGTCATAACCATCTATTAGGTGTTCCTTGTGATAAGATGCATGTATGTACAAGTACAAACGGCCACCCAATGCCCAAAATACTTCTGGAAAGTATAAAAAAAATTATAGAAGAACAATAGTGTATAAAAGCACATGTACTCTTTGACAAGCCTATAATTAGAAAAGCTCTAAATAGAAAAATACTTAAGTGCTATCCCCTGATAGGAAGTGCTCTATCTCCTGTCCCATATAATGAACCTACTGAGGCTAGATCAGGAATACTGTCAAAGAAGTGATAATCATTTCAGTAGAAAGTGTTTTTTATTTATGTGTGGCCTATGAGCAGAAGTTATGTAATTTTGTGTTAGAACACTGTTCCTCAAACAGGCATCCTCCAGATGCATTACTTATTCTACTTATTTTTATCATTTCTGGCTTATGTTTCTGCTTGTAGAGCTCTCAGTGTAACTAGGAATTTAAAGAATAAACATACAAACTTAAACTCTCATAAAAGCAGTTCAAATCTCTATAAACCTAACTGGTGATAATTTACACATATGTCTCATTTAGAACTCACTGTATTTTATGAAGACTTTTAAAATTTGCTTTAATATAGAAATATATAAGGGAAAGAAATAAAAGGAAAAACAAAAGAGAAACAGGAAAAGGATGAAAGCATATTGTAATACATATAGAAAACAGCTCATTTTTAAAACACAGCATTAAAACTTGATTGCATAAACTCTCCTTTTAGAGTTACTAGCTTAGTAGATCAGAGGAATGCTGTTGACCATGAATTCTCAATGGGGATGATATTGCCCCAGGGGTGAAAATTGGTTCTTGGGAAAAAATCTTAGATATTGCAATGGCTTGTGGCCCTTCAAAGTTCAACCCTGCTCAACAAAATCTTATTCTTTAATATTTAATTTTTCTTGTTGGGTTTTCTTGGGTATCACATGAGCAGCACTGACATTGAGTTCAATGATGTCTGTCATTGGAGGTCTTTCAGTCAATCAATTTCTTGATCTTGAAGTCATATCATGAGAGGTGGCCTCTACATGCCTATTGGCTACTACTGGCTGCCTTGTGGAAGTTGTTTATTGTGGTCTGAAGTGGCAAGAGTGCTTCTTTCTTTTCCAACATCTTATATGGTTGAAAGTGGTTTTAGTTCAATAGGTAATATATTAAAAAGGAGTGAAACAGAATTGATATGTGTTTAAGAGGAGACATTAGAATTAAACTTAATAACATCACACTGAACATTGAACTTTTAGTTAAACAACATCAGGCTCAGGGATCCCACGGGCTAGTTCATGGACATGTTACTTTCTTTTGTAAGCTAGTTAAATTAAATTATTTTCTCATATCAAGCAAAAGTTAAGTTCACTAAAAATAATTTTTAGGAAATTAAGTAATTTTTTCAATTGCTTTATTCTTGCTGGAATAATAACAGTTTTGAAAGATTTTTTTTAAAAAAACTGATTACATTACTATTAGGTATTTATAAAAATTGCTAATTTGCATATGTAATTTCATACATTACAATTTATATAAGTAAATAAATTACATGAAAAGTTACATTTATAAAGTGAAATGTTAATAGCTTTTTAATTTTTAACTTAATGTTTTTCTTCAGTCATTCTTAACTCTGTGTTGAGAGCCAGTTTGATGTAGTGATTAAGGCACCAGGCTAGGAACTAGGAGTCCATGAGTTCTAGTCCCACCTTAGGCACAAAACCAGCTGGGTGACCTTGGGTCAGTCACTCTCTCTCAGCCCTAGGAAGAAGGCAGTGGCAAACCACTTCCAAAAATCTGCCTTGACTAGTCCAGGCAGTTGCCAGGAATCAATACTAACTTGAAGAGACAAAAACAAAACAAAACCCCCTACATAGAATAAAAAGAGTAAGCTTCATACTTATTCTTTTTACATATAAAGCACAGATATACATACAGTACATAAGTATACAGTATATATGTGGTATTAAAATTATGTGGAGTGGGTAATTAGGAAAAAATGTCTAAAAAAAGCTCCTTAAGGGAGCGATTATGAAAAAAAAGGTTGAGAAACATTGCTGTAGACAGAATGTATCTGGACTTCAGGTAAGCCTTTGAAAAAGTTCCCCATGAATCTCTATAATAAAATGGGGAAATGTAGATATAAATGACTTTTTTTTTAAGAATTGTACCCAAGAATTCTTTGAGTTTATTTTTTCTTTATAGATATTTATTTTAAAACATTTGAAGAATAAAATAAATTACTACATAAAATAAAAAAATAAGAAAAGGCATAGTGGCTAGAAAATAAAATATCAATAAATAAAGAATTTACAATTGTCATAAAATTTAGACATTGTTTTATTATTTGATTAAATAATTGAATATGTAAAACTAAAATTGTATGAACTTGAGAAATGATTATAAATAACTAAATAACTCTAATTTGTAATATTTATATTGATGATATGTATTGATGTCACCATTATTTATCATTTCCTAAAATAAATGCACATGATTTTATGAAAAGGAAAAAGAAAAAAACATTAAAAACAATCAGTAAAAGCAATGTTAAGTTCTAAATTGCCTCCCATTGTACCTGACTAGTGATTACATCAAATTATTTATTAACTTTAAAATTGTTTCTGGTTAATATCTTTATATTAAATTTTCCCCACTTAAGAACCATACTCTAAGTATCTAAGTTTGCCTTGTTATGTGGCACATAATATATAGGGAAGCCATTCTTGCTTAAATTTATTCAGACTTTTGTTCTGGATGTATACTGCTAATTTTGCCATTGCTGCATATCTCCAAGTTTGGTTTCTCAGTCTGACATTTTTGGCAAATTATGTTTTTTCCAGTGTTGGGACAGACTTGTACTTGCAGTCATCAGCATGTATCTCAATAAATTGTGATTTTGAAAAAATTATTTATTCTGGAAAGATTCCTAGTAGAAAAAAAATTGAGATTTCAATTCACAGTTTTTAAAATTTTCTGAATAATGCTATGTATTTCTTTCCAGTATTTTTTAATGTTTTTACTTAACCACCACATATGATAAAATGTTTCTTCTCTACCAAACATTTCCAACATTTATTATTATATTATTTATCTTTTTACAATTATGGACAGAGTTATGTACCATTTGCAAAACATTTTGTCCAAATTTTCTTTTAAATTATACCTTGAGGTAACTTTTTATTGAGTTTTTCCATAATCCTCCCATTGTTCTAATGTAATTGTTTCTTTAAAATTTTGCATCCATTTTTTTATCATGCAGTCTTTTATTTGTTCTTTGTTTCATATTTAATAGCAGTTTTATATATGCCCTATAGGTTGTCCTGGTTCTATACAAATGTTCCATATTCTGTCATTTGTCTTAAAAGCCCTTCTTCCTTGAGGTCACTTTTTATTCTTCCAGCATTCTGTAAATACATCAGCTGTGGTAAATTTCAGGCTTTGCCAAATACTGTGTCCTTAGTTTATGTCTGGAATCTGAATGCACCATAGCCACATACATACCACATATACAGGTAGTCCTCAACCTACAACTATTTGGTCAGCAACCATTTGAAGTTAAGATGGCGCTGAACAAATGGTGGTTATGACTGATCCTCAGAGTTCCTGCTGTCCCAGCACCCACGCAGTCATGTAATCATTTGGCAATTGGCAACCAGTTTGCCACTTACAGCCAGTTGCAGTTCCCCACAATCACATGATTGCCATTTGCAACCTTCCCTGACAGCTTCCCTGACAGCTTCCCCAGAAAGTCAATGGGAAGGGAAGGTCGCAAGTTGTAAGTCTTCCGCCACCCACGCACTATCCCCCAGCCCTTCTGTGCGCACACTGTGCCAGTCACTCATACATGCCTGCACACCCTTGTGCACCTTCCCTGACCCATGCTGCACCTGTTGCGCACCCCTGTACACCCTCCCCAACCCCATACCGTGCAACCCCGTGCATGCTCCCTGACTCTCACACCTCTTGTGCACCCCCCACGCCCTTCCTGACCCACACTGCACCCTCCCTGACCTGCACCCCATCACCCTCACGCACCCTCTCTCACCCTCGCCACACCATCCACACACCTCCTCGCTCCCTCGCCCACCCAACAGCCACTTACCTGCCTTCTAGCCTGGGAACTGGCACTTTCCTGCCAGTTTCCCCACTGAATTGGTTGTGGGAAGCCAACAGGAAGTTGCCTCGCCTGACGACCATAGGATTCGGTTAATGATGGCAACCAGGACTGCAGGGATTGCCGTGCCTAAGCGATGCGGTCGCACTTTACAAGCACATCACTTGGCGATGGAAATTTAAGTCCTAATTGCCAATGTAAGTCAAGGACTACTTGTATTAGTGTATAAGCCCATCTGCCAATAAGCTGACCCTTGAATTTTTAACCAAAATACCATGAAAAATGGAAGAGGGAAGGCAGAGAAGGCACTTATGCATTCCCTCTGTTTAAGATGATTATAATTTACTTTTGTAATGATGATTTGCATCTCAATTAACTCCTATCTAGATTGTATTAAAACCTGGACAACATGTATTAGCTCTTCTACTTGCAATGCATGTAAATCTTACATTTTTAATATATTTTTTATTGTTTTGCCACTGTCCTTTGTAGTAGAAGAATGCGTATTCTTTTAATACATTTTGAGCTGAAAAAATCGTTCATATTCTATTCTTATTCTTGATAAGGATGGATGCTCCTTGTAGCTGCACTCACTTCTAACTGAGTGCCTTTCAGATATTTTTGGAGTACTTTTCTCATCATCCTGACCTGGTATCTTTATGGGGTGATAAGAATTTTAACCCAACATCAAAGGAATCCCAGATTGGGAAAACTTTTCTAGAAATACTGTACCATACAGATCTTGAGAGTACCAGGGAGATCTCTATATGCTACCAGGTATATTGTTTAAAATTCTTAATTTAAAATAAATGTCAAGCATTTGTACATATATTTCATTTCCAGATTATAAAGATAAAAGTGTGTTTCTGTACTTTTTCAAGCTGACTAAATCCTATTATGAATCAGAGTTAGGATGTTTGTTACATTGCTGATCTTTCCAGAAAAATCCTTTGCTGCATAAACCACATAATAGCATGTTTAAATTGTGAATTCAACAGCGGATTAGTATGAAAAGTGTCTCTCTGTGTGTCTGCGTATGTGTGTATTCATCCTTTTCACTCTATTCTGCATTAGATGAAATCCAGAGTGACACAGAAAATGCTAGATACTTGCAAATAATCCCTGGGCTTCAAATAAGGCAGACGATAAACAACTCTATAATAGTCAGAGTTGCAGCTTCCGTAGACCCCATCTGTTTCAAAATAACCCTAATTCTGCTTACTATGCGGAATGCTTTGTTGACTGGGGTTTGGCCTACTTTCTCTAATGTGCTGCCTGTGAGCCTCTGGAGACATCTGCTGGAAGAGGTGAAGCAGGACCCGAGATAGAATTCCCACTTTACTGGAACAATCACTATTAATTTGTTTAAAAGCTATGAAAATGTCTCATATGTACTCATATCATAGTGTACGCTATCTTTTTTATTTACTCTGAGGCACAAATTCATTCTCTTGAAAGAAATGAGAGTGCTTCTGAGACATTTATTGTCATATTTACACTGGAGATGAATGCCTTAGGGGTCTCTGTTGGTATGTTCTCCATTTTTGCTCCCAGATTAGGGTCAGAATTACAGCTATTAAGGAAGAGAGAGAATCCTTTGTCCCAATCATCAAAGTCCAATACACCACTACAAAGTACCTCATCAGTATGCTGGCTGAAAATGTTGAAGGTTGCAGTTTAATTGACCCTGGATGATACAAGTTTTGAAAATGTTCTCTATATACTGAAGACAAAGACACTATAAATGTCACTGATTTCCTGATCTCAAAGGAAGAAAGACCCAAAGGAAGAAGAGACTTTACTTTGACCCACTGTATTTTTTCAGGCGTCTAGGACAAGAAAGAAAGTGAACTCAACCTTTTGGTTTCACAGCCACTATTTTGATTTCTTATATGCATGTTGTGTTCTTTTTTGAGACTGGTTGCATTCAAGCCCAAGCTGGGAACATTAAACCAAGAAGTTACTTATCTACATCTTTAAGGAAGCATTAAGGTGTCTTTAGCATTTCAATGTTTCAGAGACACCATTTAGTTCAAATAGCAACGTGGTTCTTCAGCTGTTACAGCAGCTGTAGGAAATGTAAGATGACCACAGTGGGATAACTCATCTATCTCTGTTACGGATGAGAATTTTCAAAAGGATGACAGGTTGATACCGTGTAGCACTCTATTTCCAATAGCATCTGGGAGGCTAAAGCAGTATATAATTCAGCCATTCCCCAGATAGGGCCTTTCTTATGCATTTGACTTCCAAATCCTAGAATTTAGAAGTGCTTAAAGTGAAGTGCATAATGATAGCAGTCCTCACTGTTTTGTGCCCAGAATTTACTGTTGAAGGAAGCAGTTTAGCTTCCTGTTAGGCCTGTCAATTACAGTTAGTTGTACCTCCCCCAAATTCAAATGATCCTTTTTAAAACCACCAAATTCCAAGTAAAAACACAATACTTGATCTACTGTATGAATTGTTCCTATAGACAGCTGTTTTTACAATAGTAGCCACAATTAATAACTGAGAAGCTTTATCTTCCCTACAAGTTGTTTATACTACTTTTGGGAAGCCTATTATTGAATTGTGCTAATTATGAAATATCACTGCAGCTTAGCTAACAATTTGTTCATTTCTTTTTTCAAAATAATAACTAAACAGAAACAAACTTGTATGTATGTATGACCAAAAAGTCAGTTTCGTTTGTTCCAATGAAAAGGCCTTAAAACACAGAAAATGTTGTTCCTGAGAATACAATCCCCAGTTGGACTTCTTCAGGTTTGACAGTACTGGATATAGAAAGAAAGCATTGTGTGTAGATGTTTCACTGTATGCATATATATGCCTAAGTTTTGGATTACATCCAAGGATTGGAAGTTTCAAATCAGTGCATATCATATTGTGAAAAGGGTATTGCCTTAGAATCAGGAAAGAGTTACCCAGATTTCATTTAAAGTGGTAAAACTTTATGTACTTCTCAGTTTAATATATTAACTACAAAAATAAATTTGGGCCTGGTACAACATTAGAAGAATGTATATTAAATTTGTCTTTCAACATTTGTTTCTTCTTACAGGCGGCAGTACAAGGCATTACAGCAGTGAAAGGAGGCCATATGGCTTCTGGCTTTCACCAGAAGAACTATCAGCTGAGGAACTCAGAAGGCAGAGACTTAATAGATTTGAGAGGTGGCAGTAGTCTGATATAGACTATATAAAGGGCTCTTCATAGCTGTCAAGACATTGGCGGATATTTTTCATTTAAGCTATCTCTATTTCACAAAATATGTTTCGTGGAAGCTATCTGAAGCTGAGTGAAAAAGGCGAACCTGCTTGACACACGGACTACCAAATTTAAAACTCAAATGGAAAAACATTCTTGAAAAATTAAACACCTTAATTCACTATATCGTGAACAATTTTATAGCTACTTTGCATATTAGTTCTTCTTTTCAGTGGATAGCTTTTGGTAACTTAAGAATTTGGTCAATAAAAGTTTACAGAATCAAATTTAGAATTAAAGAATAGATTTGGTCAGACTATTTTAAACACACGATTCATGATTACAGCACTTAGGATCTTCATGCAGAAAGTGCTGAAATTGAAGAGTACAATGATTTACTATAGAAATGCATTTCTCGAAGAAGCATATTTAGAATATGACAGCAGCATACAATTTTAGTATAGTTGAGAAAGTAACTGCATAACATGAACATGTTGTAGCACTAACTTTAACTATTTTGTGGACAAAAAGATGGAGCTTTGTATTTTTATTATGTCAAGCCAAAGTTTGGAAAGTTTGAATTCTTCAATCTCATTTGAAGTAGATTTTGGAATTTACATTGATTTATTTGGATGCGGGCATCTGTATTTTCTTATTTACAGGGTATTGTGCTTGTGAATCATTGACACATTAAATTCCAAAAAGGTTTATCAGAATGTATTTGTGCACATATACACGTACACACACACACGTACACACAGATCTATCATAAGAAACAGCTGAAGATTAATGTGGGAAAAATATACTTGATCTGTATTAATGTATCATCAAAAGATTTCTCAATACACCAATCTTTGACAATATATTTTTGGCAAGTTTTAAGTTTCTGGATTCATAATTTCATCAAGGAAATTCCAATCTAGTCCAAAATTGTGTTACTGCCACTTTGAAACAATTTTGGTCTGCATGCTTGCTAGCTGTATATATTTTTGTTCATAAAGAATTAATAATTTATATACCTTCCCATTTCAATTTCCTTTTTGGGGACAAGCTCAATGTAACAAATGTTTCTATTAAACATGTATATTAAAAATAGAAATTCTAGGAAACTATTTGAGTGTTTGTTTTATAGAAGGATGAAGATTCTCTTTTACTTGGTCCTTTGACGTTGTTTCCATAGGCAGAAAGACCGTCATTGAAATACGAAGTTTAAAGTTGTTTTTGTTAGGACACAGGGAAGGAAAAGATTACTAGATTCTGAGGTACGTTTATTTAATGTTAGTTTAGTCCTTTGTTACCAGTTGTTAATTGTGTTCCGCCATTAGGCCTTACTAGTTTTATTTTAAAAGAAACAGTATAACTTTCTACATGTTTAGTTATTATGAATCTGTAAATATAAATTATTTTGGTGGCCCATCCTTTATCCTCTACCTCCCCCCCCCCGCAGTACTCTGCACGGGCTTCCCAAAATTGATAATACTTTCTAGAAAGGAAAAACTAGAATTGGCATAGTTTGCCACAGCCATAAAACATTCCTATGTAATATTTGTCACCAGACATTATGATTTGTGAATTAACTCTTCTGATAAAAAGACTCTCCACACTGTATACTTCAGTTTATATCAGATATTTTTTTCTTAAATCATTACAATATTTTCTAGTTGAGAATTACTCTGTGCCTTCTCCAATAAAGCTTTTATTAAAAATCATATTTATTTCAAGCTTCTGGAATATTTATTTTTCAATGCTTATAGCACTGTTGTCTCCATGCTTTCATAATGAAGGATCAAAGGACTGCCACTGAGCTGTGTGCTGCAACCTGATGATTTACATCTTATTTACAGCCTTAACAAAAGCAGATGATCCCATGCTGATTTCAAGCTTTGGATCAGGAACCAGAACTGATCATGGCTCTTCCCCAATATGCTTGAAAGACATGCAAAGAGGCTGTGTTATGCAGCAGTGAGCCTTGGAGTCAGCAAGAAAGGGCCCATGGAGGACCATCCTACAGAGAAGCAAAGAGAGACTGATTTGAATGATCTTCCTCACATGCTTTCAAGTGTTCGTTATATTTCTAGATATATATTTTAACATTAAACAATGAATTATTTAAAAATAAATGTTAAAAACTTCAATCCTAAGTAAAAAATGAAATTTTAATTAATTTTCAGTCTAAAATGGGAGGTATATTTTGAGTACCATTAGATTTTCTGTTTGAAGTGAAATTTTAAAGCAGCCATGAAATATACTTCATTTAAAGTAAAATATAGTACTTCAGTGACAGCCTAAGCACTGACTGTAGAAGTTACCATGGGAACAGTACATTTCTCATGACAGCCCAGCATATTGGTGTATAGGGCTAGAATAAATTGTCAAAATATGAGTAGCCAAAAATGCACAAACATCCACACTCACTTCATTTTGCATGAAAACAAAATAATATGTAGGGTTTTTTAAAACATTTGTTACGAGCTGTAAGTTTCTTTGATGCCCTATATTGCTAACATTTAGTAAAATGAGGTTCAGGAATTTATTCCTCCCTGCCCTCCACCCTCACCCAAAGTGATTGTTGAGAAGAGATTTATTCTCAAGATAAACTCACTTATTGCAGTGTTCTGTTTATAGATTGAATAATGTTATAATTAAGGAAAGACCTGGTTTCATGAAAGTGCTATGACATAAATAGCTTACTGTTGACAGTCAGTGATACATTATTTAATGCATTTAAGAAAAACTAAATTTATTATCACTCTGGAACCTAATAGGATTAAGTCCATTCTGTATTATATGTATTTTAAACATATTATCTGAAGTCAGTGGTCTTCATTCAATATAACTAAAAATCAAAAAAATAAAGGACTGAATATCTAAACATTATTTCTGTTTTCTGAATGGAAAGGACAAGCTAAATCTTACGTTTATTTGTGGCTTTTAGCTTTTTGTATCATGCTTCCTATAATGCAGAAATGTGAGGTGCAACAGAATTTACAGTATTTAGAACAGTTATATACAGCCCACTTCCATAATAGCTTTTGGCAGGGTCACATTGTTTATTCAGTGTTCCTGCTTTTCCTTTCTTCGTAAACAGGCAATCCATAGGATTTGTCCTTTTTAAAAGAAGTATATCACTAGCTTTCTCCTGAACACTATCAGTTGGAGCTCCTGTTGTAGAGCACAGATTGGCAGTGCAGCTTGCAACACATTCAGATGGGGCTAGGGAAGTCTTAACTCAAATTTCATATTTAAAAAATAGTTGAAGGAAACTTCAAAATATTTCTGAGGTAGAAGAGTTCTGTAGGGAAGAGTGGAAAAAAATTCCAAAAGGAGGATCCGAAAGATTCTAAAGTAATTACAGGAAACTTTTGGAAGCTGGTTTGCCACTAAAGAGATGTCATAAAATATGGACTGGAAAGATGTCCTAACTTCTGCACCTGCCATGAATAGTATGTAGGCACTCAAATATGCAGAAGGAGTTATAATTTGCTTTGTCTTGTGAAGAGTGAACAGCTTCCATTAGAACATACAATTTGACCAGGAGTGCTTAAATCTTTTGGCATATAACAGCATGGCCTCCAAAATGAAAATCTCACTTTTCAGGAGAGGTCCACCTTTTAAGATGCCAGTAGTCCCAATAGTGCCAGGATATTACTATCTACTGTATAATAGTTTGCAGTGAGGCTTGAATTGACTGCTAGTTTTACTTAACATAGAACTAAAACTAAAATATTTTACAGAATTAATTCAATGACAAGTATTGAAAATTATACTTGATCTTGGTCGTAAATCATCTTACGACATTTTATTATCAAAATGTAAGCTTTTAACTTCTGCATTACTTACAGCTACCCACAAAAAGCAACCTCTACCTCCATTTTTTTAAAAATTAAACTCAGTGCACCTTTTGCTCAGAAAACCTTTGGCTTTGCTTTGTCCAAGCCAGAGACTAATGGTGAGTTTCTAAGATAAAGACCACTGGCTATTACATTTCTAATGTTCCTTAAAAGTGGAAACATTGCTAAATCTGTTTGTGCTTAAACAAGGCAACTAATTTATCATTGGTACATATAAAAATCTGAAATACTATAGATACATAGATGTATCTCTCATGTACTGAAAAGGCAAAATACTTTTTTTTCTCTGCTTTCTCACTGCCATAGAAAAAAAATCAAGTGGTATTTTCAAGTGAAGTGGAATTTTTAGTACAATGTTTTCTGTCTCTTCTCATTCTCTCTGGACATGGAAAAACATATCTGATGGAAGTAGTAAAGAAAACAATATTAAGTTGTGATGATGTCACTTGGATCCCCAACCCTAAATAAAATTATATGAATCAATAAAACCAACTGAACAACAAATGAGTTGGTGTTCTTCTCTCATCTATTGCAGTTGGTTTATGCCAGTTCTTTCTTTCCTGGGTGCCATCTACATGTGCCCTAAACAACTCTCATAATTCGTAGTCAGTATATAAATGTAATACTGACACAGGCCACCAAGATGAGAAAAGCTGGTTTATTTTTGTTCAAGAAGTGTTCCAATATCCATTAGGCATATTTCATGCAAACCTGACATCTGCCGATATTTCGGCGTTGTTCTTGTTCATCTTTGATAGTCCCTGAGAGAGGGGATGATAAAAACTGTGACTCATTATTCACTGTAGCTAGCCAGAAACTGTATTCATTAATAAAAAAGTGACACGTCCCTTGTTGACCCTGGCACTCAATAAAAGGTGCTGATCGGAAGTCCTCCAGGCAGCTTCCAGTTGACATGAGGGACTGTCCCCCTCCCTGGTCACCAGATCCGGTGTGCTGAAAGAAAAAGATAAATATCACCTATGCCATCTGACCATTCATATTCAGGAATAAATGCTTCTTTTGATTTCCAATCAGATTGCAGTCTCCAGCTACAGTTGTAATTTTAATTATTCAGGGCCAAAGCACACATGTTTAATATGCATCGGGCAGTTGACCTTTCCCATTTATTCTTACTACTGTTCCTGGATGGAATCCTAATCTGGACTGGAGCCAGTGGAACTGTAGCAGTAGTACTTCTGATTAGTGTGCACTTCTAACTAAATGCAGTCCAGGGGGATCAAAATTATATACAATATCAGTCACAGTAAAACAATACAATATTCACTGTAGGATATTTCCTAATGCAGCATAATAGTATAAACAATTCTTCTTATTAGCATTACTTCAGAATAAATCTACAACGAATAATGGTGGAGGACATTTTTCCAGCTTCCTAAAGGCCCTGCAAAAAGAAGAATTTTAAGTTTTTGAAACTTCTAAAGATCAGGCTACAACTGTAACTCAAGAAAGTAGGTACTAAGTGGGAAAAAAATCCTAAAGCATGAGGTGGCAATTTTAAAACAAAACATTAATAAACTTTGAGAGCACACGAACATGAAGTACAATCAGGGTATTTCTAAACACGTATCTGAAAAGGTCAATGCCAGCAATTTAAGCTGATAGTGTTCCTGGCGATCCAACCAATGTAGATATTGACAAAAGACAAGGTAAATCCAGGACCAATTAGATTTACCAGTAAGTCTTCATTACTTTCTTCTTACATAACTTAACCCTCACACCAAATAGAATCACAAACCTCAGGGAAGCCTAATCTTTACTGCCAAGAGTATGGCTTGGCATCAAGGTATTTCCAATATAATTTCCTCCACTCAATTTCAGCCACCTGATGTGTTGTTCCTGGGATAATTTATTAATAGTTTCCTGTTGCTATATAACTGGAGAAAGGAGACCCTCAAACGTTTTTCTATGGTGGCACTGATGTTATGGAACTCCTGCCTGAAATCCGATCAGTTCCTACCTCATTACGCTTCAGGAACTGATTAAAACCAGAACTGTTTAAGAGTAGTTTTGATTTATAGGTGTCACCATCTATTTTTATTGTTTTTTGATCTGTTGTTTTATGATTATATCTGTGGTTTAATTTTGGGTAACTGTTTATTGTTATTATATAATTTACTTGTACTGTAGACTTTTATTGTTGTGATCGTAACCCATTGAGAGTCTCTTGATTGTGACGGGCAAAAAATTCATATAAATAAACAGAACTGCTCCACCCTAAAAGTTACTGTTACTCATGGTAACTCCCTACCATAACATATACATAAAACTACCACTAATCATAAACATTCATCAAAAAACTAACCTTACCATTAATTTAACCACGTATCTCATGGAAGGATAACCCAAATGCTAACTCAGTCACAGACTGAGCCCCTGCTGGCAGTAGTAGCCATTTTTGTTTTCTAGCGTTCCTTCAGACTAGATTGGCATAAATAAATTCAGATTTCATCAATGTTTGAGACAATAATTAAGAGAATGTGAGTGATGAGTTGTGAGTTTGTGAAAGCAAAGACTCACTACCCTGGTTCATTTTCATGTAAAATATCTAAAAAGAATAGAGAAGCATACTTAAAGAAAATCCAAAGGCTAGCTTATGTTAAAGATTTTAGAATGTGTCTGAGAACTGTACTTAGAAATTTAAAGCATTAAACATTCAGCCAAAAACCCATCTGAAGAGATTGTTATAATTATCCTATATAGCGATGGCCTTGAAAACTGTTTGAAAACTGCAGCTTGTTCTGAATGCAGGAAGCACATTCCTCCTTTGGTTGATCCTGGGGAGCATTCTCATCATCCTGCCACATTTAGTGGGCTGGGGGTAGGAGTGGGGATAAATGTTCTGGGCCAATTGGCTTACAATCTAAGGTGCTAATTTTTATATTTCAGCCCCCCAAGATTCTGTGTTAGCTATCTTAAGTGAGCAATGATTCCTAAGTTACCCACTCTGAATTTCAGTATTGTAATCAGGTGAAGGGTGCTAAGGGGAAAACAGGTTCAGACTTGAAGTTCTACAGATCAGGTATTCATTCCCTCACTCTTAGGGCCTATGGACCTAAGCAATTCTATGCTGTTGCAACTGGGCCATTCAAACTGCTTCCATAGTCCTTTTGGCCTAGGAATTTATCCTGTGCTTTATCCTGTGGCCATATAAATATGATTGATTGATTGATATAGAGATAGATAGAGATAGATGATAGATAGATGATAGAGATGATAAAGTTAGAAAATGATAGGTGCCTAATTCAAGATTTCTGGCTAACGTAAAAATTACTAAACTTGCTACATTCCTTCAATTTGGACAATTTGTGGTAAAGAGTAGCCACCAGGCTTCTAGACCTGCTTGCTGTCCATTGGGCTAGCCTTCTCACTACCTGACATACATAAGGCCTGAGACTTCTGAAACTGGAAGGAAGGAAGGAAGGAAGGAAGGAAGGAAGGAAGGAAGGAAGGAAGGAAGAAGAGAGAGTTGGTAGAAAAATAAAACCCAGATTTAGCTAGTTATAGAGCAAACCATTGGTTTCTGATGACCATTGCTACTGCTAAATATAAATGTGGACCATCAACCATACAACAGTATCATACTGAATAAAGCTCTAACAAGTTTCTGCATTTCACATAAACCTAGAGTTGGGCTGGGACATTTAGACTACCACGTCCAATCCCCTGCTCAGCCCAAAAATTCAAGCATCCCTAGAAAATTACTGTCTAGCCTCTATTTGAATACATCCATTGGAGGGACCTAATCACTTCTCTGGGTAATTATATCACACCACCAAGATGGGGACTTAAAGTTCTTCCCAGATGCTTAATTTCTGAATCCTTCTATGTTAAAAAGTAAATTCCACTGACTTCAGTGGGGGTTCTTCTAATCTTTACGTGGCAGTTTGCAAATGAAGCAGCTGAGAGGAGCTCTGATGGAGCCGTCCTGTACATTTCTTGTAATAAACATAAAACGAGCAGGGTTGTCTGTTTGCTACACAGTAACATAATATGTAGTTTGCCCCTTAGGTGCTAGTGAACCTATTACGATGTCTGATAATTAAATATTATTCTGTATGTAATGCTACCCAATGCTTCTTATTATAATAAGGTAAAATGAATGCTTGGATTGCTTTACTACATTTTCTGCCACCTTTTAACCTGTTAAGAAATATGTATGGATGATTGCCAACTTGTTAGCTAAGTATTATACTCCTCTATATTTCATTACACCAGGTCTGACTGAGAACACTTAACTCTTGACTGTTCCCAGATGTGCAACTGGATGTCCTGAACAGATAAATAGCATTTTACATATCAAAAACCATAAATTATTAAAATATTTTATTTCCTATAGCTATTAAACGTAGAATAAGCCATTTGTTTTTTTAAAAAAAGCTGTAAAGACATTTTAGTTATTTGCTCAATGGCCAAAATCAATGGAATTTTACAATAAATGAAGGAAACATGCAAACAGTGGCATTTAGTACATAATAAAGGCTAATATGATATGAATATATCATACTCAACAGAAACGAAAGAATATTATAATGTATGGCAATCTTCTATTTACAAATTAATGGAAGAGCCAGGAACAATGTAATCAACAAATGTAAAAATGGTACCAGAGTTGTTTCTGGTAGATGGGCAGTCATGTAAGTTTGGGAAGGAAAGAAGGAAGGAAGGAAGGAAGGAAGGAAGGAAGGAAGGAAGGAAGGAAGGAGAGTTGGTAGAAAAATAAAACCCAGATTTAGCTAGTTATAGAGCAAACCATTGGTTTCTGATGACCATTGCTACTGCTAAATATTTTGCAACTTAGATATTTCAGTATGTTGATCTTACAACAGCTGATCTGTAATTGATTATGGTAGACTGAAACCTTACTAATAATTGGCTTAATTTGTTCATGACTACAGGACTGTGAGGTCCAGAATAGTCCTCGCTTAACAACTGCCCTGTTTAGCAACCATTTGACATTACGATGGCACTGAAAAAGTAACTTTATGACCGGTCCTTGCAGTTATGACTGTTGCAGAGTCCCCGTGGTTTATGACTGTTGCAGCACGTGATCACCATTTGCGCATTTCACAGCCAGTTTCTGACAGAGTCAGTGGAGAAGCCGGCAGTAAAATTGCAAGTCACAGTCATGTGATGTCTCACTTAATGACTGCTGGTGATTTGCTTAATGACCACAGCAGAAGTGAGGTCATAAATCTGTCATGGTCACATGGTCTTGCATAACAACTGCATTGCTTAGTGACAGAGTTGCTGGTCCCAATTCTGATTGTTAAGCAAGGACTGCCTGTAAAACTATTATCCCCCAAACAATGAAATCCAAATGTAAAATAAATAAAATAATAAAATAAAATAAATCTAGGGGGAAAAAAGCATTACCATAGTTAATGGAATATATACTTAAATAATATATGGGGGACTTTTCATTCAGTAAAGTTGTCTGCTCTATGTTTACTTTTTAAAAATAAGAATCAAGTTCATTATACTTTTATTGTACCAATATTTAATAGGAAAAATGTAGAGGTGAAGTAAATGTTAACTGCAATTTTCATTTTTGAATAACAGAAAAGAAAAGGCTGCTTTTTGGTTTATATCATACTCATTTACTTCTCATATAGGATCAACTGCTCAGTTACAGTATGCTTAAGCATAAAATAAGATACTGTGATGATTTTATCAAATAATACTCAGAAAGAAAGAAGCATCTTCTGTTAATAAACAAATGAAAACTGCAGTTATCAAGTCAGTATCACAGGAATTCATACTAAGTTTTTTGATGACTTAATATTCCATGTTAGATCATACTAGTATTCAGCCTTACCATTAAAAATGAGTAACCTATCCAAAGACTTCTCCAGTTTGGTGGACAGGAAGGAATGGATTGATCTTGACTATGAACCGCAATGGTTTGGGCAGGAGCTTCACATACAGCACATCTACTAATATAGGGCTCTATTTCTTCATCTGAGAGGGGCATCATGGGCAAAGGAGATGCACTTGAGAGCCAGTAAGATTTATCATTTCGACTTGCATAGTAGCAGACTTGATTGACATTGCAATAGGTAAAAGGCATAGTGCTAAACACAGGGAGACAGGATCCAGCGAGACCTAGAAGCCAATTAAGATTTAATAATTACCAATATTAGCAATATTAATAATAGCATGAGTAGCTTTATTCCTTATCTCACTTTAGTTCTACATAACCAGTAAGTGACTGATACATAAGGATTTTTTTTAATGTATTTACAGAATTTCTAAACAAAAGCTAATATCTGTGTCCCAGAATAAGCAGCTACACAAATCAGACAGTTTTTTGTTTTCTGTAGAGACTGAATATTTTTAAGTGCTATGTAGAGGTAGTCCCAGTTTAAGAACGAGTTCTGTTCCCAAGGTCTGTCCTTAAGTCGAATTTGTATGTAACCCGGAACAATATTATTGTATAATACTGTGTAAGTAGTATTGTGTAATTAACTCGAACCATTGTGTATTTAACTCAAATTGTTGTGTATTTAACTCAAATTTTGCTACAGTAGGCTCTGTTCTTAACTGTGGGTTGTCCATAAACTGGGCGTTCTTAACCCAAGGACTACCTGTAATCAATTTTCTTACTATGGGAATTTTAAAATAAAATTAAATATTTTCAAAACAGAGAAAAGATACAGTCCAGTCGGAGAAAATAAATGTCAAATGTCAGTTTGCAACATCATTAGATAAGACTAGAACGGTCTTTTGTCTGAACCCCTGATGAATCAAGCCTACTAAATATCTCTGAGATAAATGGACAAATAGTATGGCACAGAATAAGTGAGGTTACATGTTTTGCTCAACAAACCACCATAAAAAGTTTTGATTTCTAATTCATAAATTCAGGTAATAGGCTACAAATTGCAACCCCAGTCTTCTTTAGAGAAAACATCAATGATGTTACTATAACCAATCCTTTAATTTTGATTATATGAATATTGTTCCAATAGAGGTGAATAAATGTTGTTATTTACACTTAAATATTTTTTAAAATGGAAGTAGTGGCACTTGTCCATAATAAACAAAACACTTGGACAATGCCTTTTTTGAAATGAACTAAAATGCCACGAGAAACTTAGCCCATTTTAAAATGTTTGTAGTAACATCAGGATTGTAATGCTGTCTCCAAAATCATGCTTGAAATTAGTAATGATTGAGGGTGTGCTCAGGCATATAAAAATTATTACAAATAAACCAAAGATACAACCTTTTTGGCATTCAACCTTCAGCAGAGGCAGCCTGATAATGAAGGTTCAAGCAGGGGACGAGACAGAATAACTATTACGTGAAAACACAAATGGTACCTCACAAGATTGAAAACAGTCCCAATCCTATACATTTGTGGAACAGCATAGACTCAGATTCAGGTGCTATGCCTTACAAGAAAAAGTCTGATAACATCAGTGTCTAAGTAACTTTAATAAATGTCATATATGAAAATGAATGGAACTCATTGTTCCAAGTAAGCTGGAATTAACACATATTAACTGAGATTTCATACAGGGATCAAATATTTGAAGCTCCCCTTTAAACCTAAGAGAAAATCTTCAATTACATATACTTCTTAAATACCACCATTGGCAATAAAAGTACAAAGCATTACAATTCCTTTTTTTTTTTTTTTGATAAAGATATAATAATGCTCACCAAGGTCTTGGTTATGGGCTTTCTCCTGCCCTTCAAAATAAAGCAGGCTGTATCCAGTCCATAATCTTGGCATTCCCTCAGGACAAAAGGGTTCTGTTTCTGACTGACTATGAAAAACAAGCAGGAACCCGCTACTCCATTTGGATTCTGGCCCTGGTGGCCCTGGAATCCCAGTTTGGCCTGGAGGACCTTAAGAAATGGAGAAAAGGTAGACAAATAAGAACCTACTTAAAAGTTGGTCCCATTTCTACATCAAAGATTTACTTTTCTAGAATTAGTATGAGAGTGGGTGAGGAATCTTGATTCCTAGACTTTGAATTAAATAGAAATAAATATATATATATTAGATAGCATGGGCAATAGGATGGCAAGTTTCTCAATTGAACTTCTTCAGAGATTTGAGCTCAAAAGTGTAAAGGACTCAGATTCTGCTCCTTCAGAAACATCAGGATACAGGTTCAATAACTTCAAGTAAAAATCACAACCATGGGTATATAAATATAATCCATTTGCAAAAGAAATATATTTCTAAAAGGAGAACAAATGAAATAGAATATTTACCTTGTGGGCCTGTGCTTCCTTTTTCTCCCATGTCACCTTGATCACCATGAGGTCCTTGTGGTCCAAGCAAGCCTTCCAGCCCTTGCTGACCTAATGAACCTTCTTCTCCTTTATTTCCTAAAATACAAAAAATTTATTAGAAAGTAGATATGATTCAGCACTATACATACATACATAGCCATCCTCTTTTCTGTCCCTAGAACAAGCACCAGACTTCTACTGGGTTGCCTACCACAGACTTTCTGATGACTAAAAATAGATTTGGCATTACACTTCTATCAAGATATATAACACTTTAAATCAGTGTTTTTCAAACTTGGCAACTTTAAGATGTGTGGAGTTCAACTCCCAGAATTGCCCAGCCAGCATGCTTTAGATGTCGAATAAGAAATTTGGTTCAATGGAAGGAAAACACCGTAAAAACGTGTGACATAAACCTCATGGTAAAATGAGGGTGCACAAACTTAGGGATGGGCCTGTTCTTCAGCCTTTGATAGATATACTTTGTTATGCCCTGTCAGGGAGCTACGCACAGCATGACCAATTACAGGATATTACCACAGTGCTGGGGCTGAAATGCTCAGCCTTTTTATTTTAGGGACTGGGGAGATTTCAGAACTCATTTTATACCTTATTCCCAAAGCAGAAAAGTGGCCACTTCACATTTCTAAAGTAGTTCTTGGATGCTTAAGATACCCATTTTGGTCCCTAAGATAAACCTGCCCCCCAAAATGGACCTAAATTTTTTGGCCTTCCAATGTTGGCCTTCCTACTTAAGAGGGTAGGGTCTTGAGGCCACAAATGACAGCATTCCATCCACAAGTTGCCGAACCCTATCTTGGGAAGATACATAATAAAGATTTTTGAGACTTTGTCTCTTCCTTATTACATAGTTTCTGAAGTCATACAATCTTTTACCTGGGGGACCAGGAAAGCCAATTGGCCCTCTTAATCCTACAAAGCCTGGTGGTCCTCGTGGGCCTAATACTCCAGGAGGCCCTGGAATCTTAGGACATGAGGAGTAATCAACTTTTCCATCTTCTCCTGGATCACCTGAAACACACAGCATTAAATACTTTGTGAAGAGTGCATTAGACAGTAGCAAAAAGAGATTCTTCTCAATGTTTGACTAAATTGTTTTGTTTTATATTCAGTAGAAAGGGAATACAAATAACTCAAATAAATAATTATGTGCAAATGTGTACATTTTGATCAACATGATTTGGCTTAAGCAGCTGCATTTAAGGTGAATGGATATTATTGAACAAGACTGTTGCTATAAGGAGACTGCTCACTTTTTTTTTTTTTAATTAGAAATGGGAATTATGGCTCACCCTCCAGTTTTAGGAGTGTGTGACAGTTAAATCAGATCTTAATAGGACAGCGTTGCTACAGAGCAAGTATAGGCAAGTTCTGAGGCATGAAGGGCCTGATGATAATTTCTGTGATGTAGAGGTTTCTCAGGAGGACATGCTAATAAAGGCTGGGATGGCAGTTTTAGCAGCTGCTCAGGCAGCAATATGATTAGCCATAGAATCCTCTCATAGAAGCTGCCAGTGGGGTGCTAAGTCTTCAAAACCTGATTGTCCTATAAATAGCCACATTTTTACAAGGTCAACACTGGCAGAGTAACAGAAGCAAAGGGGAAGAGAACTGATAGTACTGCAGAATGGATCACTGAAGGCTACAGACAGATTGTGTACTACCATTGGCTCCCACCCCTGTAGATAAAGGAATGTAATTATTAAACCTGAACAAATGCTTGGATAAAGATGTTTCAGGGAGGAGTCTTTTTGGACTCACAGCTCTGGCTCAAGAAGCAGGGGGCAGCTGTGGCCAGGGAGGCCTTTGCACAGATTCATCTGATGTACCAATTGCACACATTCCTGGACTGGAAGGCTGCCTGAACAGTCAACTCATGCTTTGGTCACCACACATGTGGACTATTGCAATATGTTCTACATGGGGCTGCCCTTAAAGAACACTCAGAAGCTGCAGCTGGTTCAAAATGAGTTATGGGCATATCATAGTACACCCATGTAACACCTCTACTTTATGAATTGCACTGATTACCAGTAGGCTTACAGGTGTAACTCAAGGTGCTAGCTATGATTTATAAAGGCCTTCATGGCATATGGCCTGGTTATCTGAGGACTCATTTGTCACCTGTGTTGTCTGCCCATCCTGTTTGAGCCGACAGAGTTGGCATACTTCAGGTCCCATTGATTAAACAGTGTCAATTAAACATTGCCTGCCTTCTAGAAGAGCATTTCCCCCCCCCCACCTCCACCCCAATATCCGTATGGCCCCTACCCTGACCTTGCTTAAATGAGCCCTTAAATCCTAGCTCTTCTCCTAGGCCTTGGGCTAGGATGGATGGCAACTCCTTTGAGGAAATGGCTTAGGCAAAAAAAAATAATAATAATAATCTTGCTCTTCCTGGATGTTCATCACTCTTTTCTGATTTGTATTGTTCTAAGTCAAGTGGTCTTACAAATTTGGAAAATAAATAAACAGTATAGTATCATCACACAAATTTTCTCATTAGGCTCTCCTTTCTCCCTGTGGTTTCCAATTATTATGCAATTCCAGGAAAAGATGCAATTCTTTAAAGAGATAGGTGCTATCACTTGCCCCTGTGGACTCCAAAGCACCTTTTCCTAATTATTTCCAAAGCACTCTACAGCCCTATTATTTATTCATTTCTGTGCAGCACTGAGATAAAAAGCTCCATTCCAGTTACTAAATATATATAACTTCTTCCAAGGGATTGTCTTTCCCGGTACTTGACCCTGGCCCCCACATCAGTAAAACAGCAAGGGATGGAAAGTTTCTGAAGAGTGACTTTAACTTCTATGGTCAGGAGGAAAGGAACTGCAATATGTGTAGAATGGAATGTTGTTAGAACATTTTAATTAAGACGACAGAATAAAATTTGAGGCTAAATGGAGAAGCAAGAAGCACTCAAGGAAATACTTTCTAAAATACACTCATCTTCTGTAGCTTACCTCTGTGACCTAGTAGAATAAATGCCAAGAATCAGATCATGACAGCCATTTGACATGCAGGAAGAAAATCATGGAGACAGATTAGCATAGGAATACAACAAGAATTGCTATGACTTGGAGGGTGAGTTCAAGATTTTTCTGCCTTAGGAGCAATAGCAATATCTATTCTAGTTTTACTGTAAACTGCCCAGAGTCACTCCACAGTGAGATGGGCGGTGACAAATTTGAAAAATAAATAAACAAACAAACAAACAAACAAACAAT